ATGGACTAGCAGGTTATTTCCAACTTCAAGAAACTGTACACAAAAGCTATGTTTGAAAGGTGCTTTGTAGTGACCTCAGAAACTCAACTGACTCTAAGAGAGTTTTGGAAAGATCATTTTACCATCCTCAATTGTGTAAACATTATAGGTAAGGCTTGGGAGGAAGTGACTAAGAGGACATTGAACTCTGCTTGGAAAAAACTGTGGCCAGAATGTGTAGACAAAAGGGATTTTGAAGGGTTTGAGGCTAACCCTGAGAATCCTATGCCAGTTGAGGAATCCATTGTGGCATTGGGGAAGTCCTTGGGGTTGGAGGTTAGTGGGGAGGATGTGGAAGAGTTGGTGGTGCTAGATCATCTTCAACAGCAAGAGGGCAGACCTGAGGAAACTGCTTTGGAGGAGGGGAGAGAGAAATTGAAGAAGTTGCCTACTTCTAAGATAAAGGAAATGTGTGCAAAGTGGCTTGGAGTGCAAACCTTTTTTGATGAAAATCACCCTGACACAGCTACTGCAAGCCGTGTTGGCAACCTGTACACTGACAATGTTGTGAACCACTTTAGGAAAGTCATAAAGGAACGAGAGGTACAGGTATCTATGGACAGATATGTTGTGCGACAGAAGTCCAGTGACTCTGAAGCTGTAAAGTAAAAGGACACAAGTGCAACTGATGTGACATTTATTGTGGCAACGTTTCGCTCTCCAGGAGCTTTATCAAGCCATTACAAACAATACATGGACACAGAGGGTATATAAAGGCTCAGGGTGAGGTGAATACTAGTGAGGTACCATTTCGATGTTCACTAGTGGTAGTAGTAGTAGTAGTAGAAGTGGTAGTGACAAAAGTAATACAATATGGTAGAGCAATTAATTCGTACATGAGTAAAAGGATATAAAAGCTATTACTTGGGTAACATAAAAATAGGTTGGACAAATATAAACTGGAATGAGGCAGCTTGTTTCAGTGTTCACTCTGTGCTTTGTGTAGTATAACAGGAGAGACTATGTGATGGCAGGGTTTACTGTTTTCAGGAGGATTCTTGCTAAGACTTCAGAGATGGTGAAGCTGCCGTTGTTTTGTTTAATTGTATTCGAAACAGCGATCAGTGCTGATTCGAGGCACTTGCGTCTGCGGAAATTAGTTTCTTTGATCACTAATTGGGCGTCTCTGAATTTCATGAGATGATTGGTGGAATTTCGGTGTTGTACACAGGCGTTGTTCAGGTTATCGTTCCTACATGCGTAAATGTGTTCATTGAGGCGGGTGTCGAGGTTTCTGGCTGTTTCACCTATGTAAATCTTGTCACAGCCTCCACAGGGTATAGTGTAAACTCCTGCATTGACTGGTTCGTGGTGCTTGGATTTTGTCCTGGTTATATCCTTTATTGAAGTGCTAGAAGCGATGGCGACTCTGGTGTTAGCTTGTGAAAGTGCTTTTGGGGACGTTCAGTGCAACCTGACTGTTGGGGAAGAATTATAACTTTGCTGGGAGTGGTGTTGATGCGTGGAGAATTTATGATCTGAAGAGCTCTTTTCTTGCAGTCTTTGATGAAAAAAGAAGGAAAATGTAACTCTGTGAATGTTTGGTGAATGTATGTACACTCCTCGTCGAGAAACTCAGGACTACAAATTCGGTATGCTCTTAGGAAAAACCCGATGATGATGCCTCTTTTGGTCTTGGTATCTTGACTGGAATAGAAGTGTGTGAGATCATTTTTATTGGTGGGTTTCCGATAAACTTGAAATCTTAGGTTGTTGTCTACTTTGTGAATGAGGACGTCGAGGAAAGGTAGCTTGTCATTGGACTCTTCTTCTAGTGTAAACTGGATCGCCGGTTCAACTGCGTTGAGCCTTGCCTGAAGAACCCGTACATCAAAACGTTTTGGAGTTATTAAGAGGACATCGTCCACGTAACGTAACCAAGTGACGCTTGAAAGGATGATGTTGGCGAAGTGTTCGGACTCTAGGTGTTCCATGTACTGTATAAGTTGGCTAGGACGGCACTGATGGGGGACCCCATTCCCATGCCGTAGGTTTGTTTGTAGAGCTTGTTATTGAAAGAAAAACAGTTGAAATTAACACAGAGTTCAATTAAGTCAACAAAATCTCCGGGAGGTAGAGGAAGATTAAGGTCCTGATTGACTTTACGTCGTAGAACCTCGATGGCTTTTTTGGTAGGTACTTTTGTGAAGAGGGAAGTCACATCCAAACTGCTTAGTTTCTTGTTACGGATGGAGAGGTTACGGATGCGGTTGAGAAGGTCACCTGAGTGTTTAAGATGAGCGGGGCTGATGGTCCCCAGAAGGCAGGAAAGATGTTTGGCAAGAACTCCGGCTAGTTTGTGTGGAGCACTGCCTATTCCTGACGTGATTGGTCTGAGAGGAATATTGTGTATATGGGTCTTGGGTAAACCATACATGTGTGCTGGTTTAGGGTTGCTTGGTAACAAGTACAGAAGTTTCTTCCCTTCTCTAGTGCGTTTGAGTATTTGTCTGGTTTTGTATAGAAAATCTTTGGTGAGCGTCTCCCACTGTCGAGTGCTGATGGGTTCGTATGTAGATTGATCATTCAAAAGGTCCATCATTTTAGTGTTGTAGTCACTGGTGTTGAGGATGACGACTCCACCTCCTTTGTCGGCGGTGGTGACGATAATGTTGGGGTCGTTGGCGAGGTTCTTAAGGGCAGTGATGTATCGTCTAGGAAGATTAGAAGTAGAAGGTTCACATAAAGCTGCAGTGAGAAGACCCTGTATATAACCCTTCTGGAAGTTGCTGTCACTGTGTCTATGGTTCCTGGTAACTAGATTTAGTTGATAGGTTTGCGTATGTTGGTGGTCTAGTGGCTAACGCGACGGGCTGGAGTTTTGAGACTCTATGACCGCGGGTTCAATCCCGGCCGGGGGTATGGTTTATTTGCAATCGTGTCATTACGATTTCTTGAGTCATGTTGACGGCAGTGAAGGGACTTGAGCTAGAGTTCGTCACGGCCACGCTAGCTGGAAATTCGTCTGTAAAAACTTGCATTTGTGGTCACAGAGGTGCCTGTGCTAACTTTCCTATGGTGTAGAAATATACCTAGTTGGATGAATCTTATTGTGGCTAGCTGGTCTAGTGGCTAACGCGACGGGCTGGAGTTTTGAGACTCTATGACCGCGGGTTCAATCCCGGCCGGGGGTATGGTTTATTTGCAATCGTGTCATTACGATTTCTTGAGTCATGTTGACGGCAGTGAAGGGACTTGAGCTAGAGTTCGTCACGGCCACGCTAGCTGGAAATTCGTCTGTAAAAACTTGCATTTGTGGTCACAGAGGTGCCTGTGCTAACTTTCCTATGGTGTAGAAATATACCTAGTTGGATGAATCTTATTGTGGCTAGCTGGTCTAGTGGCTAACGCGACGGGCTGGAGTTTTGAGACTCTATGACCGCGGGTTCAATCCCGGCCGGGGGTATGGTTTATTTGCAATCGTGTCATTACGATTTCTTGAGTCATGTTGACGGCAGTGAAGGGACTTGAGCTAGAGTTCGTCACGGCCACGCTAGCTGGAAATTCGTCTGTAAAAACTTGCATTTGTGGTCACAGAGGTGCCTGTGCTAACTTTCCTATGGTGTAGAAATATACCTAGTTGGATGAATCTTATTGTGGCTAGCTGGTCTAGTGGCTAACGCGACGGGCTGGAGTTTTGAGACTCTATGACCGCGGGTTCAATCCCGGCCGGGGGTATGGTTTATTTGCAATCGTGTCATTACGATTTCTTGAGTCAAGTTACACTCTGAAGCTGGTCCTAGTGGCATTAAAAGAACAAGGGAAGTAACCCCAGAAAAAGACTTGCTGCCTCAAGTGCTAATGGAAGGGGATTCCCCTTCTAAACACTAAGAAGATCAACGCTCTCCCCTCCTCCCATCCCATCAATCATCACCAGATCTTCAATAAAGGTAAGTGTCATGTAACTGTGCATGTAATCTTCAGTTTGTGTGTATTAAAATTAATATTTCATGTGGTAAAATTTTTTTTTTTCAATACTTTTGGGTGCCTTGCACGGATTAATTTGATTTCCATTATTTCTTATGGGGAAAATTAACTTGACTAACGATAATTTTGACTAACGATGAGCTCTCAGGAACAGATTAATATCGCTGGTTGAGGGCCCACTGTATTCTCGTTTTCTTGGTCTCATTTGATAGAATGGAAAACATATTATAGAAATACAGGTTATTTTGATTGATTTTACTATAACAAGAACCTGGAAATGGAGCTCAAAGTATGGGAAATGTTTGATTTTTGCCAATGTTCAAAAGTAAACAAATGATGTCATTGTCCAATAAATGTCCAACTAGCCATTCTAATATGCAGTCATGAATGGGTTGACATTATTTATACAACTATTACAGTATTGCAGTAGTCTGCATAATAGTAAGTCTTCTATTTTTTGTTTGAATAAAAATTCAAAATAGAAAGCAAGAATAATATCAGAGGGGCCTGGAGACATGACTGATTAACAAAGAATATGTTATTTTAGAGCCAGAAATGTCTGCATTGTTCATTCTGACCCTATTTTGAAATTGTCATACTTTTTAATTTTCGTGAAATTGGCCGAATTGCAAATTTCTGACCACATTATTGGGTAGTTTTTATCGGTAAATGGGCAGTTTTTTGTACTCAATCGATAGAAAAAATGGAGTTCTAAAGAAATAGCTATGAGTTTGGTCAACTGGAACAAGGGAATTAGCCGAAAATAGGGCTCAAAGTGGGCGAAATCGCCGATTTATAAATATCGCCGAGGTTGCTAACTTTGCGAGAGCATAATTCCGTCAGTTTTCCATCAAATTTCGTTTTTTTGGTGTCATTACAATTGGGAAAAGATTCTCTATCATTTCATAAGATTTTTTTTTTTTTTTTTTTTTTTTTGCAACACCAGGAGACACCTCAGGGTTGGGGGTTGCAACAGTCAAGGGGTTAAGGGGTTCTCTGATGCTGGTGAAAGGCTTATCATCCAAGGAATTAGAGTTACTTTTACATTCCTTGGATCAAACCTCATTGCCTTTCATTCCTAGGTGCTGTATAGCCCCTGTAGGTTAATATAATCATAAACAATCTGGGTGGTTGGTGACTGGGCCCAACACCACACTGCATTTAATGACCCACCTGGGTTTAGCATCTCATGAAATACAATATGCAGCTGATTAACCCTTTCAGGGTCCGTCCCGTAGATCAACGGCTTTACGTTCAGGGTCCAAACCGTAGATCTACGTCATGAGCTCAGCTCACTCTGATAAACTGTGAGTGGTAAATTTGGGCCTAGATATGAGAGAATACATCTATGTGGTATGTGTGCACCACATAAAACAAATCCTGCAGCACACTGTGTATAATGAGATAAAAAAAACTGAGACCATGATTTTCGATTAAAACAGCGACTTTGCAGTGTTTTTTCGTATGTTTTTTATAGTTGTATTTGTGATTTCTTGGTCTCATTTGATAGAATGGAAGACATATTACAGAAATAGAGATAATTTTGATTGGTGTTAGCACTGGAAATGGCTTGAAATTGAGCTCAAAGTGGCGGAAATGTTAAATTTTTGCCGATGTTCAAGAGTAAACAAACGACCTCACACGTCTAATACACGCCAGCTGGTGGGTCTAATATACATTCACAAATGTGGTGATGATATTTATACAATTATTACAATATTGCATAACAGTAAATCTTCTATTTTTTGGTGTGAATAAAAATTCATTATGTGAATAAAAAATCAAAATGGAATTTATTTGTAAAGCCTCAAAACATAACTAATGAACAGAGGAAATGTTAGTTTAGTGCCAGGAATACCTACATTGTTTATTCTGGACCCTATTTTGAAATTGGAACATTTTGAACTTTGTGTTAAATTGGCCAAATTACCAATTTCCGGTCACTTTATTTTGTAGTTGAAACAGTTGACTTGGCGATTTCTTGTGCTCAATCGATAGAATAGAAGTAATACTAGTGAAATAGCTGAGAATTTGGTCGACTGGAATAATGTAATTGGCCTAAAATGGGAGTCAAAGTCGGCAAAATCGCCGATTCGTAAATATCGCTGACACATCAAAATTCACGAGAGCATAATTTCGTCAATTTTCCATCAAATTTCGTACTTTTTGTTTTATTACATTCACAAAAAGATTCTCTACCATTTCATAAGAAAAAATAACAATTTTTTTTTTTTTAAATTCTTGGACACTGGGGCACCACTTCAGATTTTGGCCTTGGACCCTGAAAGGGTTAATAATGACCTCATAGTTTATATTGATGACTTCTTATGCACTATATATACAGTGGAAACTTGGTACTTGAACTTAATTTGTTCCACAGCCAATCTGTGATGAGAGCACTGAACGAATTTTTTCCAATCAATTTTCTTTTTTGTTCACTGTTATCACTAATCTTCTTAGGCCCCATGGTGACTTATTTACACAAATAATATAAAAAAAAAATGCGAAGAAACATGAAATAGTTTACAGTGAAGTTCTGGCAGGTTGTGTTTGTATGGTTGCGTGCCGAGCAAACACTTTACTACTGAACAAAACGTTCGAATACCAAATTGTTTGAGTAGGGAGCTGCTCGAGTACTGAGGTTCCACTGTATGTGTACAATATTTTTCTGCATAGGGATGTCTCCCACCGAGGCAGAGTGACCCAAAAAGAAAGAAAATCCCCAAAAAGAAAATACTTTCATCATTACTCAACACTTTCACCTCACACATAATCACTGTTTTTGCAGAGGTGCCCGGAATACAACAGTTTAGACGTATATACGCATAAAAATACACAATATATCCCTCCAAACTGCTAATATCCCAAACCCCTCCTTTAGAGTGAAGGCATTGTACTTCCCATTTCTGGTTATATAAAATAACTGGTTTCCCTGAATCCCTTCACTAAATATTACTCTGCTCACACTCCAACAGGTCGTCAGGTTCCAAATACCATTCGTCTCCATTCACTTCTATCTAACACGCTCGCGCACGCTTGCTGGAAGTCCAAACCCCTCGCCCACAACACCTCCTTTACCCCCTCCCTCCAACCTTTTCGAGGATGACCCCTACCCCACCTTCCTTCCCCTACAGATTTATACGCTCTCCATGTCATTCTACTTTGATCCATTCTCTCTAAATGACCGAACCACCTCAACAAACCCTCTTCAGCTCTCTGACTAATACTTTTATTAACTCCACACCTTCTCCTAATTGCCACACACTAAATTTTCTGCATAATATTTACACCACACATTGCCCTTAGACAGGACATCTCCACTGCCTCCAACCTCCTCCTCGCTGCTGCATTTACAACCCAAGCTTCACACCCATATAAGAGTGTTGGTACTACTATACTTTCATACATTCCCTTCTTTGCCTCCATACATAACATTTTTTGCCTCCACACATACCTCAATGCACTACTCATCTTTTTTCCTTCATCAATTCTATGATTAACCTCATCCTTCATAAATTCATCCGCTGACACGTCAACTCCCAAATATCTGAAAACATTCACTTCTTCCATACTCCTCCCCAATTTGATATCCAATTTTTCTTTATCTAAATCATTTGATACTCTCATCACCTTACTCTTTTCTATGCCCACTTTCAACTTTCTACCTTTACACACACACACCCAAATTCGTTCACTAACCTTTGCAATTTTTCTTTAGAATCTCCCATAAGCACAGTATCATCAGCAAAAAGTAACTGTGTCACTTCCCATTTTGTATTTAATTCCCCATAATTTAATCCCACCCCTCTCCCGAACACCCTAGCATTTACTTCTTTTACAACCCCATCTATAAATATATATTAACCATGGTGACATTACACATTCCTGTCTAAGACTTACTCTTACTGGGAAGTAGTCTCCCTCTCTTCTACACACCCTAACCTGAGTCTTGCTATCCTCATTAAAACTCTTTACAGCATTTAGTAACTTACCACCTATTCTACATACATGTGTACTTGCAATATCTGCCACATTGCTTCCGTATCCACTCATATGCCTAAATCCATAAATGCAATAAAAACTTTCCTACCTTTAAATACTGCTCGCATATATGCTTCAATGTAAACACTTGGTTTACACATCCCCTACCCACTCTAAAACCTCCTTGCTCATCTGCAATTCTACATTCTGTCTTACCTCTAATTCTTTCAATAATAACCCTACTGTACACTTTTCCTGGTATACTCAGTAAACTTATTCCTCTATAAATTTTACAATCTCTCTTGTCCCCCTTCCCTTTATATAAAGGGACTATACATGCTCTCCGCCAATCCCTAGGTACCTTTCCCTCTTTCATACATTTATTAAACAAAAATACCAACTACTCCAACACTATGTCCTCCCCTGCTTTTAACATTTCTGTCATGATCTTGTCAGTTCCAACTGCTTTACCCCCTTTCATTCTACGTAATGCCTCGCGCACCTCCCCCACACTCGCATCCTGCTCTTCTTCACTCCTAAAAGATGGTATACCTCCCTGGCCAGTGCATGAAATTACCGCCTCCCTTTCTTCGTCGACATTTAAAAGTTCCTCAAAATATTCTCCCCATCTTCCCAAAACCTCCATCTCCCCATCTACTAACTCCCCTACTCTGTTTTTAACTGACAAATCCATTTGTTCCCTAGGCTTTCTTAACTTGTTTAACTCACTCCAAAATATTTTCTTATTTTCATTAAAATTTCTTGACAGTACCTCTCCTACTCTATCATCCGCTCTCCTTTTGCACTCTCTTCACCTTTCTTTTACTCTTCATATATTCTACTCTTCTTATAACACTTCTGCTTCGTAAAAGCCTCTCATAAGCTAGCTTCTCTTTTATCACACCCTTTACTTCATCATTCCACCAATCACTCGTCTTTCCTCCTGCACCAACCCTCCTATAACCACAAACTTCTGCCTCACATTCTAATACTGCATTTTTAAAACTAGTATTCCAATCCTTTTCAACCCCCCACTACTCATACCTGCACCAGCCCACCTTTCTGCCAATAGTTGCTTATACACCTAAGATCCGACTTACGACCTGCTCGACTTACGACCACTCGACTTACGACCGTGTTTTTTATGCCAAATTTCTGGGAAATAAACAACTATTTGTGTTGTACACAGTGTTTATCCCAAACCTTACAGTATAAAATACAGTACTAACAACATAAAAAGTACTTTTTTTTTAAGTAAAACATGAAATACCAAAATAAAACAATAAAATAAAGTCATTACAAAAATGTTTTGTTGATATTCAGTAGTAAAGTTCGACTTACGACCGGTTTCTCGGAACCGAACTCGGTCGTAAGTCGGATGGTAGGTGTATTTCACCCAAACTTCCTCCTCCCTTAGTTTATACACTTTCACCTCCCTCTTGCTTGTTGTTGCCATTTTCCTCTTATCCCATCTACCTCTTACTCTAACTGTTGCTACAACTAGATAATGATCCGATATATCAGTTGCCCCTCTGTAAACGTGTACATCCTGGAGCCTACCCATCAACTGTTTATCCACCAATACATAATCTAACAAACTACTTTCATTATGTGCTACATCATACCTTGTAATTTATCCTCTTTTTCATAAAATATGTATTACTTATTACCAAACCTCTTTCTACACATAGCTCAACTAACCCTCTGAGGGTTTTGGACGTACTAGTACGGCTTACGACCCAGGGGTTTTTGACGTACTAGTACGCCTAAATTCTAGCGCCCTCAAATCTAGTGGGAGAAAGCTGGTAGGCCTTCATATGAAAGAATGGGTCTATGTGGTCAGTGTGCACAGTCTAAAAAAAATCCTGCAGCACACAGTGAATTATGAGAAAAAACTTTGACCGTTTTTTTGGAATAAAACAGCGACTTTGCACTGTATTTTCGTATGGTATTTATTGTTGTATTTTAGTTTTCTTGGTCTCATTTTATAGAATGGAAGACATATTACAGAAATTGAGATGATTTTGACTGGTTTTACAATGAAAGGTACCTTGAAATTGAGCTCAAAGTAGCAGAAATGTTCGATTTTTTCCAAATTTCAAAAGTAAACAAATCGTGCCAAGCGTCCAATACACGTCAACTGGCGAGTATAATATTCTTTCACAAGTGCGCCATTAATATTTATACCATTTTTTACACTAATGCAGTAGTCTGCATAACAGTAAATCTTTTATATTTTTTGTGAGAATAAAAATTCAAAGTGGAAAGCAAAAGAATATAAGAGAGACCTTGAGACGTGACTAATGACCAGAGGAAATGTCATTTTAGTTCTGAGCCCTATTCGGAAGTTGGCATCTTTTGAAATTTGTGTGAAATTGGCAAAATTGCTAAATTCTGACCACTGTACTGGATAGTTGAATTTCATAAATGGGTGGTTTCTTGCACCCATTCGATAGAAAAAATGGAGTTCGAGCGAAATATTCATGTTTTTTGTCGATTAGTACAGTGGAATTGGACGAAAATGGGGCTCAAAGTGAGCAAAATCGCCGATGCATAAACATCACCGAGACCGCTAAATTTGTGACAGCATAATTCCGTAATTTTTCCATCAAATTTCAAACTTTTGGTGTCCTTTTGATCGGGAAAAGATTCTCTATCTTTTCATAGAGAATTTTTTTTTTTTCTTAAATTTGGCCGACCCTGAGAATGAGTTTCGGAGACGGCCTGTCGACCCTCAAAGGGTTAAAGGCTCCCCATTTTCATTTACCCCTGCCACCCCAAATTTACCTACTACTCCCTGCACAACATTTTTACTCACTTTAGCATTAAAATCCCCAACCAAAAGTACTCTCACACTTGGTTCAAAACTCCCCATGCATTCACTCAACATTTCCCGAAATCGCTCTCTCTCTCTATACTTCTCTTTTCCCCAGGTGCATATACGCTTACTATAACCCACTTCTCACATCCAACCTTTATTTTACTTCACATAATCCATGAATTAATACATTCATAGTCCCTCTTTTCCTGCCATAGCTTATCCTTCAACATTATTGCTACTCTTTCTTTAGCTCTAACTCTATTAGAAACCCCTGACCTAATCCCATTTATTCCTCTCCACTGAAACTCACCCATCCCCTTCAGCTTTGTTTCACTTAAATCCAGGACATCCAGCTTCTTCTCATTCATAACATTCACAATCATCTCTTTCTTATCATTCGCGCAACATCCATGCACATTCAGACTTCCCACTGACAATTTTCTTCTTATTCTTTTTAGTAATTATTACAGGAAAAGGGGTTACTAGCCCATTGCTCCCGGCATTTTAGTTGACTTTTACAACACACATGGCTTACGGAGGAAAGATTCTTATTCCACTTCCCCATGGATATAAAAGGAAAAGTAATAAGAACAAGAATTAAGATAAAATCAAAGAAAACTCAGAAGAGTGTGTATAAATAAATGTGTACATGTATGTTTAGTGTGACTTAAGTGTAAGTAGAAGTAGCAAGACATACCTGTAATCTTGCATATTTATGAGACAGACAAAAGACACCAGCAATCCTACCATCACGTAAAACAATTACAGGCTTTTGTTTTACACTCACTTGCCAGCACGGTAGAACCTCCCTGGGTGGTTGCTGTCTACCACAAGGATGTGTCTTTACATAACATAGCAAGAGTAAGCCAAAAAATAAATTCCATACTGTGTTCATGGCTTGTGTGCAAATTATGATCTTCACTATATATTGGGTTATGTACTAGCAAGCTTGGTAGTACTGATGGTAGCAGCAAGCCGATTAGTGAAAGTCTTTATTTTAGATGACTCTTTGCTCAGGACTTGATAAAGCTTAATCCTGAGTGAAAACACCATCTGAAATAGACTTGCTCTGCACTGTGTATTTATAGATCAACCAGTTTGTGATGGATATGAGGGCCACCAACAGCAAGAAACTGGTTGACCAAATAAATACCAGACAAACCTGGAATAGCCTGGCTGAAGGATTAGAAAAACCCTCTAAACTGGTCACAGGTAATTAAGTTTGGTGCTGCCTATTCCACGTTCAGGATCATCCTAGTTAGTCATTAACCCTTTTATTGTCCAGACCTCTGAAATTAACTCTTTCACTGTCTGTCACGTAGAACTATGTATTGAGCCCAAGGTCCCTGAAATAGTTCTAAGTCATGAGCTCAGCTTACTTAGATAAACTGTGAGCAAAAAATTTTGGCCTAGATATGAGAATGTGTTTGTGTGGTGAGTGTTCACAGTATAGAATAAATCCTGCCCAAAGTGGTGCATGATGGGGAAAACAGAACTAAGACTGTGCATATGGTTTAAAAGAGCGACTTTTAGGTGTTTTCTCAGATGGTTTTATTGGCTGTTTATAGGTATCATTTCATACTGAAATAGAAATGATTTTGATTCATTTCAAGTCTGGAAGTAGTTTAAAATTGAGCTCAGAGTAGCAAAGTAGTGGATGCATTAAGTCATGATGATGATCACATCCAGGTTGTTTATATGACTGAAGGAGGATGACGGAGGTTAGAGTCAATAACAAGAGGAGTTATTCCTGTGAAGCCACCAGTGTTCCTTGGGACAGTGCAGTGTGTGGATGTGTGCATGTACTCCACCTCCACAGGTAATGAATTTTTTTTATTTTTAACTTTTATTTTTTCTACTGAAAAATTTTTCCATTTACATTTTTACCCCCTTGTTATTCTGAAGATGTATCCTCATATTTTTGGCTCTGAGCTGGTTTCACTGTATGTAGACTACTGTAGGTCAGTAGTGATCATAATTGCATCACTCGCCTTGAGGGTCATAAATGATGAAATTGGTTACATCCTGCTGAATGAGGAAGACTTGCTTATCCCACTGTTTTATGTCTGTGGTATGTTTGTTACTTAAATATATGTAGAATATATTTATTTGTATACATAACTATATTTCCATTTAATACCTTTAATTTTTTTATTGACTTGCTAGTAATTTTTTATACAGTATATGATAGCTAATATGTATGTTATATACTTCTTGACTGAACCTCAGTTATTTAAATGTAATGAAAATTGTTAAACTAGACTGATTTTTATATAACAATCCATAATGGTGAAGAAAAATATTGAAATATTAGTGTATTTTTAAAGTTGTGTATGCCCAAGAAATGTAATAAGAACCTCAACCATACCCAGGTAATGTTAGCAGGCACCCCATACTGTGATGACACCCACTTTTCATTTTTGTAGATATTCTCTCACCAATAATAGTCTATCTGATCAGATGTAATTCTTGGCCCTCTAAGCCATGTCAGTGCATCATAAAAATTTAATTGGAAAATTTGTTTATTACTACTACTATAATCATTCATTATGTTTTTTCTGAAAAATTGACAAGACAGAGTGAGAAAAAATGAACTGTTATTCATGAGAGAATCTTGAAAAGAAACAGAAATTGGGTACTTTGTAAACAGTTACTTTTCTTTTGACTGCCAATCCATAGATACAAACATTGTGAAAATTCAAACAAATTGTACCATATTTCCATAATGGGAAGAAAGGGGAAGAGGAAGGGACAAATGTGGGAATCCATCTTGGCTACTGGAAATATGCTGTTTTTAATTTCATTATTAAAAATAAGTGAAACTAGATTATTGTCTGGGAACACATTTTTTTATTATAAATTACATGTTTGTTAGAAAATAGGTTCAGTTGAAAAGTTTTCAGGAGCACATCTCTTCAATAAGTTAGGCACCCACTCCTTCCCCCAATTTATATGAATGTTTTTGCAAATAATGTACAGTACTCTTTTGACTTATCAATTATTTGCAAAGGAGAACATAAATGCTGTATATTTTTCTTTCAGTCACTATGGAGAGAGGTAGTGTGAATCAGATGATGTCATCTATCTTTGGTAAGAACAAGATGCAATTGGCTAGTCTGTACAGTATTATTTTTTTAATCTAGATATGTTATTTATATATTTTCCGACATCGATACCATGCCTAACCCTTCTAGGGTAGGGTAGGTGCCTGAGCCCAAGCCTTTAGCTCATAAGACTGTCATTCCCATTTGCCCCCTTGGGGCAGGGATGGCAGACCAGAGAGGCCTAGCTTGTGGCTAGGCCTGGGGACAGTTGGTCCCAAAGATGAGGAGGTACTTGTGCCTCCTCCCATGGGAGACTTAGGTCTCAGACACTCCCTAAAGAGGGAGCCAAGGCCGGGCCACCACTTGGAAAAGGCCCGGGCCGGGAGAATACCGGCTAATCTTTAATAATAATAATAATAATATATTTTCCTGAAGAATGCTGTAAGTTCATTAGGTTTATACAGTGTATCAGAGCAGAGATCAGTGACCATAAGAAATTACAAAAAATTAATCATCTTGCACAGGGTTGTTCATTGTTAAAAAGCATTTGACCTGCAAGAAAATATTAGCTGTTAAACAGTGTAGGTCTCTGTAAGTTTCAGTTTCACTCTGACCACAAAAAAAAAGTTGTGCTTCAGTATCCAAGAGACTTGAGTGTTATTAAAAAAAATTGTCTTGCAAAAAAAAAAAAAACTGAGCTGACAAGTATAAATCTTGCCAATATAAGTCTTGCCAAGAAGGCAGTACTGTATTGTGTTGTACGCACCTACAGTACCAGAAAACCTCTCATAGATGGATTTTGGCAATCTAGGACAAAAAATTTACTCTGATTATCCGATAAATGGACAAAAGTCCGTAGTTCTTAATTTTGTGTGTTAGCATTTTATTAACCCTTTCAGGGTCGAGAGGCCCTCTCCTAAACTCGTTCTCAGGGTCGAAAATTTTTCAGAAAAAAAAAATTCTTACGAATTCATAGAGAATCTTTTCCCGATCATAATGACACCAAAAGTATGAAATTTGAGGGAAAACTTACGGAATTATGCTCTTGTGAAGTTAGCGGTCTTGACGATGTTTATGCATCGGCGATTTCGGCCACTTTGAGTCCAATTTTCGGTCAACTTCAGTGTACTAGTCAACAAAAATCATATCTATTTCGCTAGAACTCCATTTTTTCTATCGAATGAGTACAAGAAACCGCCCATGTACCAATTTCAAGTATCTAATAAAGTGGTCAGAAATTGGCAATTTTGCCATTTTCATACAAATTTCAGAAGATGCCAATTTCCAAATAGGGTCCAGAATAAGCAAGACAGACATTCCTGGGACTAAAATAACATTTTCTCTGTTCATTAGTCATGTCCCCCAGGCCCCTCTTACATCTCTTTTGCTTTCCACTTTGAATTTTTATTCTCACAAAAAATAGAAGATTTGCTGTTATGCAGACTACTGCATAGTGTAGAAATGGTATAAGTAATATCAGTGCACCTGTGAAAGAATATTAGACTCACCAGTTGACATGTATTGAACGCTTGGCATGATTTGTTTACTTTTGAAATTTGGTACAAATCGAACATTTCTGCTACTTTGAGCTCAATTTCAAGGTACTTTTCATTATGAAACCAATCAAAATCATCTCAGTTTCTGTAATATGTCTTCCATTCTATAAAATGAGACCAGGAAAACTAGAATACAACCATAAATACCATACAAAAATACAGTGCAAAGTTGCTGTTTTAAACCAAAAACACGGTCGGAGTTTTTTTTTTTCTCATGCACTGTGTACTGCAGGATTTTTTTATACGATGCACACTGATCACATAGACCCGTTCTTTCATATGTAGGCCTACCAGCTTTCTCTCACTAGATTTAAAGGTGCTAGAATTTAGGCGTTCTGGTACGTCAATAACCCTGGTGCATAAGCCTACTAGTACATCGGAAACCCTGAAAGGATTAATGATGCTGATCTACATTTTTTATATCGGTTAATTTTTTAACAAGTGCATTGATACTTTGTGTATGTACTTCGCATGCATGTACAGTGGAACCCCAGCTTTCATCCTTAATCTGTTCCAGAAGGTCAGTCAAAATCCGAAATGGACGAAAACCGAAGTAATATTTCTCATAAGAAATAATGTAAATTCCAATTAATCCATTCCAGACACCCAAAAATATCATTTTATTGAGAATAACTATAGTTTTACATACAGAAAACAATGAGAAATAAATCTAAATGACCAATAATGTTAAGTTGGCCCATAATGCCTAGGCATAATAGAGGCTCTCTTTGCATTGCAACCCACTATTGTAAATACAAAATCTCAATGTACTGTTTGCAAAGACATAAATAAGTAAATAAATAAATTTAATGGATAAATGAACATTTAACCCTTAAATGGTCCCAACGTATATATACGTTTTTTCAACATTTGAAAGTATGTAAAAAAATGTAGATCATCTTTTTTTTTTTCATTTGAAAATGTGTAAAAAAAACTTTTATCTACATTTGTTTTTTTTTTATGTTCGAAAATATGTAAAAAAACATGGATCTACGTTTGGAGCACTACGGATTTGAACGTCCATCTGTTTGGACTGTTTAAGGGTTAAATCACTGTTAAATACCTTTATTGAAGAGTCTTGTTGGCGTATGGAAGAAGGCAAGGAGGGGAGAGGGAGGAGAGGTTATCTCTACCACCCTCTACCACCATCACAACCACTACCACCCTCTTCCACCAGATACCTAAAGTCAGTGCCGGATCAGCTGGGCTGTGGTTTGTATGTTGGATTGTGTGCGGCCAGCAGTAACAACCTCGCTGATCAGACTGAGTCACATACTTGTGAGTGGCATGTCCCGGGTGGGAGGACGTGTCTGATATGGACGATTTCTGAGCAGAGGTACGAAACCCAGGGTAAAATTTAGCTGAAAAAAAGTGGTCGAAATCCAAATTGTACTACAGTATATCCGTACCAGGCAAAATCCGGGGTTCCACTGTATGAAGAGCTTACATTTATTTGGTAAAGACAGGCGAAGAACTATATATTTATTATTAACATTGTGTTAGCTGTGAGTGGTTGTCAAGCAGGGGGGAAGGTAAGGAGGGTGGGTGGGTAGGTAAATAACCACCAGTCAATGAGATACCTATCCCCAACAGGAGGAGGCAACGGAAAAGGGCGTTGGCCGAGAGCCAAGGAGGCAGGCCACTCCATCCCTCACTGATTCATTGCCTCCCTACTTGTATTTTTTTTTTAAAGACTGTCGAGGATCTGTTGGTAAGGCAAGGAGGTGAATGTATGTATGTGAGCCGAGGAAAGAAGTTGCTGTTCAAGATATGTTTATTCATGTCTCTACACATGCCAGGTCACTTCATGAACAAGACCTGGGCTGGTACCACACAGGCGAACCACTAATCACATCGTATCATCTCCACACACCCATACTCACACAAATGTACACTCTCTTACCTACTTCTCACACCAACCTGCTCACCCCCCCCTCTCTCCCCCTTTTTTTTGTTTTTAACACAGGGTTTGACAAGGTTAAGGATCCCTAGCTTTATTGACCAGCTATTTACAGGTTAAGGATTCCTAACTTTATTGGCAAGCTAAGAGCTGTTACCTACATCAGCTCATTTGAAAGCATTTTTATTGTTATGAGACATACATGTAGGGAACAGGATGAAGTTGGAGCCATCTGTGGGCCAGCATTTTCATTTGATCAGCTGACTTTATCTCGCTGACATTATGCTGTACGAATGTGTTCCATATTCGAGACATCTTGGGTATATATGATCTCAGATGGAGCGATGTTCTGGAGAAGGGTACAGCCAGAGTGAAGTTGCTGCTTTCTGCCCATCTTGTGGCATAAAAGCTTGTTTCACACTGTCCTCGAAGTGGATCCAAGTATGGTACTTCAACAATATTGGCCTTGTACATAACAGTAAGGCCACCCACATTCCTCCTGTGTTGAAGGCTCTGCTGAAATGACACATCTATCCAGGATTGGTCCAGGCGAGAGATGAGACATCTTGCTCTGTTCTCTACTCTGTCAAGCAGTTGCGGATGAGAGGGGAGCAGGCAAACCAAGAAAGTGGAGCATACTCATCATTTGCATCTTCTCAGGTGCAAATGTTACTTGTCATCTATTTCCCCAAGCTGATACAGCTCTTAGCTGGTGGTTGATGTAGCTTAGAGCAGCTGGCATTTCTTCTCTTGGATAAGTGAATGTCAGTGTACAGTCGTCTGCATATGCATGGGATTCTGGGATGAGATGAAGAAGGTCGTTGAAGTAGACATTCCATGACAATGGTCCCAGCACACTTCCTTGTGGAACACTTGCCCCAATAGGATGTCTTGCTGATTCTGTTCCATTGAGAGCTAACCTTAGAGATCTACCATGAAGGTAATCACTGAGGAGACATAGTGTAGAGCCTGCAATTCCCAGTGCTTGAAGTTTTGCTAAGAGGCCCTGGTGCCACACCCGGTCGAAAGCACCAGCAATGTCCAGTGCTACCACACAGCTGACTTTGGATTCATCCAGTGACTTGTGCCATCTCTCTCTCTCTCTCTCTCTCTCTCTCTCTCTCTCTCTCTCTCTCTCTCTCTCTCTCTCTCTCCTCTCTCTCTCTCCTATCTCTCTCTCTCTCTCTCCTATCTCTCTCTCTCTCTCTCCTATCTCTCTCTCTCTCTCTCTCTCTCCTATCTCTCTCTCTCTCCTCTCTCCTATCTCTCTCTCTCTCTTCTCCTATCTCTCTCTCTCTCCTATCTCTCTCTCTCTCTCTCCTATCTCTCTCTCCTTTTTTTTACACAGGGTTTGACAAGGTTAAGGATTCCTAACTTTATTGGCAAGCTAAGAGCTGTAACCTACATCAGCTCATTTGAAAGCATTTTTATTGTTATGAGACATACAAGTTGGGAACAGGATGAAGTTGGAGCCATCTGTGGGTCAGCATTTCATTTGATCAACTATCTCGTTGACATTATGCTGTACGAATGTGTTCCATACTCGAGTCATCCTGGGTATATATGATCTCAGATGGAGTGATGTTCTGG